AAAGAAAGGTGGGGGCAGGGGAGGCTGTTAAGAAGAAACACAAAAATTCAGTTCAGGATGAGAAGTCCATTTAAGGGCTGGGGCTAGTATTCCAGACAGCACCCACCGCGGGCTCTGGAGCCAGACTTCCTACGTGGAAAGCCTGGCTTCTGCACTCACAGCAGTGTGACCCTGGACAACTCTCCTCCCTTCTTTTGACCTCCATTTCTTTATCTGTAAAAGGTGAGCATAGTGGTACCCTCTTGTAGAGTTGCTGTGAAGATTAAAATTAGTTAATTCATGTGCATTGTTTAGAATAGTGCCCATCACAGGAGAAGTACTCAGCAAGGCCGTTGTAGTAACTAGAAATGATGATGATGGTGATTGTTTTTATCATTAAAGGAACTATATAGGTGGTTTGTCAGTGTGTCTGGCAGGTGGAGGAGTGAGGAAGAATGCATCTGGGCAGGTAGGAATGCATTAGGAATTGGCATCAGCCTAAAGAGCTTAAGACTATTCACTAGGTAATGGAAAGAGGTGGAAGGGTTTTTCTAAAATAACTTTTTGTTATGAACATTTTCAAAATAGAAGTTGAAATAACATCACAGTGTTCACCCTTATACCTGCCATCTAAATGTAGTCTTAGCATTTTGCCACATTTGCTTTCTCTTTCTTGCTCTATCTTCTCTCTATTTCTGTGTTCTTTTATTTTGGGGGAGTGGTAATTAAGTTTATTTATTTATTTATTTATTTTGATAGAGGTACTGGGGATTGTACCAATGACCTCATGCGTGGTAAGCACATACTCTATCACTGAGCTATAACCTCCCCCTCTGTGTTTTTGCTGAACCATCTGAAAGCAAGTTGCAGACTGATGACACATCACCTCTAAATATGTCCACTTGGATCTCCCAAGAATCAGGACTTCCTTCCACATACTCACAACATTGTTATTATATCTAAGAAATTAATAATAGTAATTCACAATATCATGTCACATCCAGCTGTGGGAAGTTTTTAGTTGGGAGTTAGATAAAACATTGTGACTGCCACGTGGAGGGTGGTGGGAAGGGGGCTGAGGGCAGGTAAATAACCTTGCAGTAATCCCAGCAAGAGATGATGAAGCCTGGGGAATGCAAGGTGGGCTGTTGGAGGTATCCACAGGCCTCTCACTGTGGCAAGATGGTGGCAGGAGTCCTGGTCAGTGAGGGCTGCCAGGAGGAGGTGCCAGACCTCAGAGCTGAGTGTTGAAGGATCAGGTGATCTGTAGGAAGCAGATAGGAGTGTTATAGGCAGAAACAGGGGGATTCATTGAACACATGGATGTTGAACATCTGTGATGGTTAAGTGTATGGGTCAACCTGACTGGGTTGCAGGGTACCCAGATATTTGGCCAGACATTTGGGTTGTGTCTGTGAAAGTGTTTTTGGATGAGATTAACAATTAAATCAGGAGACTGAGTGGAGCTGATAGCTCTCCCTCAGTTGAGTGGGCCTCATCCAAGCACTTGAAAGCCAGACTAGAAGAATAGACTGACCTTCCCCTAGTAAGATAGAATTCTCCTGCCTGACATGGCCTTCATACTGGGGCATTGACTCTTTCTGGTTCTGCAGCAGCTGCTGGCCATCAGACTCAAACTGGGATATCAGCTCTGCAGATTTTGAACTTTTCAGCCTCATTCATCATGTGAGTCAATTCCTTTTAAATCTATCTATCTATCTATCTACCTACCTACCTACCTACCTACCTATTTATTTACCTGCCTACCAACCCACTCATCCATCCTATTGGTTCTGTCTCTCTGGAGACCCTTAATACATCTGTTATATGCCAAGCATTCTGTGTGCTGAGACCATAAAGGCGAATGTGACACAGGCTGTCATGGAGTGGGCCACTCAGAGCTCAGTTTGCCTGGACTCAGCAGCGAGTGATAGGTGATGTGATGAGTGGTGGAGGGGAGGGGCCAGATCAAGAAGGGGCCTTGGAGGCCCCAGAAAACAGAATGGATATTATTCTGTAGACCAGCGCTTTTCCAAACTTCAGTACCACTTTCATGATTCTTGTCATATCCACATTTCAACTGCATTCTTACTGGCCTGATACATTTTTAAAAATCACTTTTATTCTCATTCGTTTTAAACTGTTTTAAGTCATAATACCTATGAGATAACAGAATTTTGTTTTCTCATTACACATGAAAATAAATATAAAATCATGACAATAAAAAGATGTTGGTCCATAACTGCTTAAAATAATTTCATATTTGTGCCACATTTTGGGAAAAGTTGTCATGAATGATGGGGATAGGGTGGATATCAGGGGTTTTAGGCAGGAATGAGACCTGCTGAGATTTATGTTTTGGAAAGATTCACTCTGGCTGTTGAATGGAGAATAGATTGGCAGACAGGGAGACCTGCCAGGAATTGTTGCAGGTGTCCATCTGAGCTGTAATAAAAGTCTGAACCAAGGATGTGCTGTGGAAATGGGGAAGGGGACAGATTTGAGGGGGGCATCCAGGTAGAATATGATAAGACTTAGAGACCAGTGGCATGGGGATTGAGGAGAAGGAAGAGTCTGGGTTGTCTCTGTAAACGCTTTGGTTTGGTTGCCTGGGAAGACAGAGGTGTCTTTACAGAGGCAGGGAGCCCAGGTGGAGAGGGTAAGGTCACGTCCAAAGAGCAGGATATGTGAAATAAGTGTTCCCAGGTGTTTGACTACAGTTTTAGCAATGATGCTGTGAGGTTCGTTGCCCCTTAAATAATAGCAAACCCATGCTTTAAATTAAATTAAAACATCTTTAGTTTAACTCTTCTGAGTGGACCTACACAAGCATTCTCAGCTAGATATTACTGAGAATGACTAAGTATTATAATTGAGCTGAAAATAATCTCCCGCCCATACTTGCTGGGTTGGTTTCTAAGTATTGCTTGGATTTTTAAGTAATGTAACAAAGTTGTGTTCTTTCCAAGTGTTAATTTTGAAGACTGCAGATGGTAACCATCTGTTACACGACTAGCATTTTACAATATTTGATTAGCGCTTTATATAGTTTGGGGAAGCCTGCCAGTGGAGTCTGCCCATCAGGTTGGGGACTTCGGTGGTATGTCCTCTGTGGTGGCCCTTGAAAGCCTTTGTCCCCATAGTATGCGGTTCCCCACTGTTTTTTGTGTGGAAGTGTGGCTTGTCAGACTGGCAGGTTGATATTCATGGCAGGAGGACCTTTTGAAGAGCCTTGCCCTGTTTGCACTCTTCCTTCGAGCTGGAACCACTGGAGCTCATGGGGAAGTGGAATCTGAGAGGGCAGATCTGTCTATCTGTCAAGATCCTCTTGGTTGAAAGTGACAAGGCAACAAACCCAAATACAGGATGGGACTGCCTTCAGGTGCATGGTTTTTGGGTTCAACTTACTTCTTCAGACCTGGTTTCACTCAGGGTCTCAGCTCTGCAATCTGTTGTGTGGTGTCAGTCTAAAGCTTGAAGAGGAGGCAGGATGGCTTCCCTGAGAGGGGTAAGTCCTCAGAGCATCAAGTCTAGAGGGAAGAGTGGAGCCTCTCCACTCACTCCTGCAGAGGTGTTGAGGTTTGCTCTGATTGGACCAGCTTGTCATGTGCCCCTCTGTGAACCAATCCCTGCTACCATCTGGGTGAAGAGCTCTGATTGGTCAGGCCTGGAGTGGAGCCCACCCAGACCTTGTGGGTAGAGACATGGGAAGGGCAGAATCCCCAGTCACACATCCCAGGATGTTACCAGGTGGGAGCAGGCTATCATCTGCTCACCCTAGTGTAAGGTGAGGGGCCAAAGTACCAGGAGCAGTTGGCAAATACAGCTGTGGAGACAGACATTTATTGTTGCCAGGAAGATAATATGCTGGAAATGGAATGAAGGAGCCTCTGAAACTAGCTACTTAAGAAGTTTCCTTTCCTAGTTTAAGGTAAATTAATATTTAGTACTGAGATTTAGTATTCTGGTTCTCTTTTTTGAGAGGGAGGGGGTTGTCTGTGTTGTTTTCGTGTTATTTTAAAACTAAGACCCATCACTTAATCTTGGTCATTTAGCTCCTCCATTTGGAACATAGTGAGCTTCTCTTTCAGAGAGGAGAAGTCTGTGCAGAGGAGATAACAGATTCCATTCAGGCCAGTTCAACAAACAGGGCACAAAGCGCTGGGGCCTGGGCCAGGCTCTGCAGCCCTGGCAGCAGATGAATCCCCAGCAGTGTGGGAAGCACTGTAACAGCTCCAGAAACAGGGCACTTCAGCCCCTCAGGGAGGGACAGTCATGGAGGGCTTCCCAGAGGAAGTGACACAGAGCTGGACCTGGAAGGATGAACACAAGTTCCTTACATGGGGAAGGGAGCTTCATGCTAAGGATCCTGTGTGTACAGAGGTGCAAGAGGTGCCCTTGCCAGTTTGCGGGGTTCTGGGGGAAGTTCCTTGGGTCTGACTGTGGGTGAGCCCAGCAAACTGGTTCCAGAGCTCAATCAGGCATCAGTGTGGAGGCAATTGGGGAGTGACAGGCTTCAGGTAGGGACACCAGGCAAGATGCAGTGGTAGAGGTCCAGGCAGGAGCCTGTGGGACATCTTGTTCAATTGCAGGTTCTGTCTAGTAGGTCTGGGGTGAGACTCTGTGTTTCTAATTAGCTCTTAGGTGATGTCAGCGCTACTGGTCCAGGACCACACTTTCGGTAGCGAGGCTCAGACCTCTGGGCATTCTCCCCTCTGTTGCCTCAAGTTGCCTGGTTTCTCAGTGATTGCGACACAGGGTCTTCCTGTCTATCTCCCCTACTCTGCCTGTCATGAACCTCCTTACCCGCCACCTGAAGTCGGTCTCCAGAAAGAAGACGACAGGATGAGGCTATGCCTCTCACCTTTGGTCCTTGCAGGCCTGCTCAGGCTGAGACTTCTGCAGGACTGAATGCCCAGCCTGAGCTCGGGGTTCTGTGGGCTGTGGCATTAGGGGACCTGGCCTCTGCACTGTATCAAATATGTCTGCTTCCAGAGCACTGGAAGCTGGGGGCCAGGGCTGAAGATTGGCTTGATGCCTAGAAGTGATGCGCTTTGTTTTCCAGGGATAGAAGTCTTGTCGATGGCCCCACTGCCAGGGGCAGAGCTGGTCCAGAGGCCACTGCAGCTCTACCGATACCTGCTACGCTGTTGCCGGCAGCTGCCAACCAAGGGCATTCAGGAGCATTACAAGCATGCTGTCCGGCAGGTGGGAATGGGTAGTGGTCTTGGGGTGGGAGGGATTCCTGTAATAAGGGGCTTGGCACAGAATTGGAGGCCAGGGCAGCGGGCAGGGATGGTCTTTCAGGTCGGGGGTAGCAGGGTGGCAGCTTGGTAAGAGCCACTGAAAAGCAGTGCTGGCCAGCCCAGCTCCTCTCTCTGGTTCTGTTCAGAAAACAGAATTTGTCATCCAGCACACCAGCTCCATACCAAGGCTTAAATACAGCAATTCAGATAGAGTGTGAGACATAACATCATTTTGACAGGCATTCCTGCCAATAATGCACAACTCGAATTTAATCATGAGAAAACATCAGGTAAACCCAAACTGAGTGACTATCTACCCTGTAACTGGCCTGTACTCATCAAACTTGTCAACGACATGAAACACAAAGAAAGGCAAACAGCTGCTTTGGCTTAAAGGGGGCTAAAGAGATGTGACAGCTAAATATAAGGAGTGATCCCAGAGGATCCTTGACCAGAATAAACAATGATCATAAGGGACATTATTAGGGAAATTCATGAAATGGAATACAGGCTGTAGATTAAATGGCAGCCTTACATCAGTGTTAAATTTTCTGGATTTGATTACTGTGGTTATGTAAGAGAATGCCGTTGTTTGTAGTGTAGTGTACTGAAGTGTCAGGGCTTAAAGGCATGAAATCTGCAACTTTTAAATGCTTCCAAAAATTGTATGTGAGCCCATATAAAGAGAGAAAGGTAAAGCAAATGTGGCAAGATGTTAACAATTGGTGATTCTGGAAGGGAATTCTTTTGTATTACTCTTGCAGTTTTTCTGTGGGTTAGAAATTATTTCAAAAAAAAGTTAAAAACTAAAATTAATACAAATGTAATGTGGAAAGTAAAAAAAATAGAGGTAGCGACAGAAGGCCGTGGAAACATGGAGAAGGGAGCGGTTAGCTGTCTGAGGGAGTCAGGGAGGACTGCCTGGAGCTGAGCATTTGAAGTGCTCCTGGAGCTGAGTAGGAGGACGCGTCGGGTTGAGAGTGACAGGTCAGAGGAATTAACCAGTTCTTTGGAAGGGCCTTGAGTGTCACACCTGTGCACCTGAATGTCACATTACTTTTCAAGGTGAACGTCTGGTCAGAGCAAACAGTAGCCCTGAGCTGCTCTGCACTGGGCCTGCCTGGATTTTCCAAAGCCATTCTCTCTGCTGCCCCTCCCTTCCCTGCGTGGCTTTCCAGCCAGGGTCCAAGAAACCCTAGTCTTTCCTGTTGGGAAGCCTTGCAGAGCTCTCACCCTGGTGCAAGCAGCTTCCTGGGAAGAGCAGATGAAACAGAGATGGACGGTTCCCTTAGGCCCCTGATGCCTGATAACCTTTGGGCCCAGGTTGTTCTAGGGGTAACTTGGGGCTAGTCTTCCTTTTTACAGCTGCCCTGCTGGTAGGAGTACAGGCTGTGTAGTCAAATAGCCCCAGGGTTCAGATGTTGGTGCTAAATAGCCCCAAGGTTCAGCGGCAGGTTCGAGTTTCTGAGCCTCTGCTCCCTCATATCCGGGTGGTGTCATCATGACTGTGGAGGGGTGAGAGCGGTGCTGAGTATACGGTGCCCGCAGTGACTAGTACCCTGAAGCTGCTGGTCCTGTGATTCGTTTTGCTTAGTCATTTTATGCTTAAACCTCTAGAGTTTCCGAGTTCATTCAGATGAGGACAACCCTGAGAGGATCCAGCAGATTATTAAACGAGCCATTGAAGATGCCGACTGGATCCTGAACAAAGTAAGTGCTTGGCTCCGGCTTCCACCTCCGAGTTGGGGGTTGATGGCTGTAATCCCCGTGGCCACCAGGGGTCGCCCCTGCCCCATAGCTGAGAACAATCAGTGCTACAGAGGCCTCCGTGCCGCACCGCGCCGCGCCACCCCACCCAGCGGCTCCCCTCTTCCAGAAGCCGAGGTGATGGCAGATGCCCTTCTGGTTGCATTTACTACAAGGGGAGGGTGCATCCTCAATCTCTAAAGGCAAACTTCTGCCTGACCAGTGCTGAATAAGCTGAGATGGGGCCACAGGAAGAAGGAAGAGAATGGTTTTCCTGGCAGCAATAATGCCAAAGCTGGCAGCAGCCTTGCGATATCTCAGAGAGGAAGGCTGTCTCTGGGGATATTCACGGTGAGGCAGGGTTATTGAGGAAACATTCAAGTACCTGTTTTGGTGGAGGCAGGGAGAGAGTCAGGAATATAGACGGGCTTGCTGGTCCTTACGCTTTGGTCTTAGAACAGCCTTGAGAGCTGGAGCACATCCTACCTCCTGGTCCTTCTGAGTCAGATCCTCCAGATGTGGGTTCCACCACCTCACCTCCAAGAAGCCCTTGCAGGAGGCAGCTGAGGTCTAGTGACCACAGCTCCCAGAATTTCCCTGGGATTCCTTGTTTAAACTCAGTGATCAGACTAGATGGCTTCTGAGGGTCGTCTTCTAACCTGAGATTTTTTTTTTTTCCCTCTGAGCAAGACTCAGCTTAAAGGAAGCCTAGACACATCACAATTTTTAGTTCTAATGTTCCCGATGTCTTTGTTATCCTCTCTCCCCAACCCCATCAGCTTCCTTTTCCATTGGCACCAACCAGAGATTTGACCATCTGGTGCCTGCTGACTGGGTCCCACCACCTCCAAGAAGCCCTTGCAGGAGGCAGCTGAGGTCTAGTGACCACAGTTCCCAGAACTTCCCGGGTCCTCCCTTCCCCACTGGCTTCCCTCACCCACTCCTAATGATCTGTCTGTCTTGCAGTATAAAAAACAAAACTGAGACTCCAGGGCCTAAAGAGTGACGCTGCCTTGGAGACACTGCCGTGGAGAGCCCTCGCTTTGCCTGGCACTAACAGCAGCAGCAGTCTGGGGATACCCACTGGCCTCGTTGGCTGGGAGCAGGAAATCAGGGGTAGGAGAAGCTGACATCTGCTCAGACGGTTCTTCTCTCGTCTTCTTGTGTCCCCAGCATCCTTTATGTTTGCTTTTCTAGCCATTATGATGGGAAGTTTGGGGAGAATGTGTTTTCTCACTTTGCTCTAAAAGTGATTCATTTACTCTGGACGTCATTCTTTGAGACCTGGAGCTGGTGTCCCCTCAGATGGCAGCCTGTACAGAGGACAGAGCATGGGTTTTAGAACCAGACAGAGCTGGGTTTGAATCCCAGCTCAGCAGCTTTTCAAGGGTGTTGGCTTCAAGCCCAGTTTCCTTCTTCGTGAGGATTAAATAAGATAAAATTGAAGAGCCTGACGCAGGACATGGTATGCGGGGGTGCTGGTAAATGTCTGTCGGAGGAAGCCGTCCTCTGCCATTGCCGCCATGCTCTGCACATCTCTCTAGTGCCATCCACGTCTTAGTTCATTGTGGGCTTGCCCTGTCCCTGCTTGTCACCCTGAGCCCTCAGTTTCACCGAGCCCAGCAGTCTACCCAGCAGCTGCTCTTGCTGACACCACGCCTTCCTGCCCAGAGCAGCAGAAGCCCTGGTCCTTGCCTTCACTGAGTGTACAGTG